GCTGGTTAAAATATAAAGCACTACTGTTTGCATCTTAGGCATTTTACAGATTCATCTAGAACTACTGGCATGGCAAGATATTATCAGACTATGTGAAATCTTGTCTGTAATGTCATAGCACATTATCATCTATTTAGCTTCACAGGAAATTTTTCTCACCTAGACAGATATTGTCCCTCCTAAGAAGTTCAAAAAATTGCTTACTGTAGCTGTAAAATATTCAGTATTTCAGAAGTACCTAATAATATTTACCAGCTCCATTTCACAATCCTTTTGGTACTAAAAACKATTCTCTGTCTTGAGATACAGGTTTTACCTTTATGGCATCAGAAAGCCAAACTTTGCATTCCTTTCATGTAGGCAGCAGTTCCACTGAAGGCCCACGGAGATGACAAAACAGCAAATCGCTTAAGCTTATGTTACTGAGATCAATGGGCTTTAATGGGAGATGATTCTGTGTTCCAACACATGAAACTAGCCAAATGCTTTTTAGTCTGACCGTTTAATGAAGATGAGACTCCTCTGTCTAATTCAGGTRAGCCACCTTGACTTTTAAGCACAGTAGTCAGGAATAATCAATTACCTTTATGTAAGTTCCAAAGGAAAACAATACTATATGAACACAACACWTTAAACAGTGATTTTACCTATTTTTATGCACTTCTGTTAAAGCTGACATACCTTTTTCAATTTCAAAAGAGTTTTTTCTATTTAATTAAAATTTAGATAAACGTTAATGGAAAAGTGACCACAACTGATAAGCTTTGCACTTTCAATTCTGGAAACAGTATACCTRTTTAGTCTCATATTTCTCTCCCTCCCTGGTCTTCAGTTACTGCACCTGTGAAGTCCAGGTGTGCCTCAAAGCTACCTTTGCAACCAGCATTAGACTCCCATTAGATAAAGCAGCAGATCTTTTCACTAGTTTGGGATCTTTTCTTTTGTTAAGTCACAAACARTACTGAAAACAGTTTTCAGACATAGTAGCAAATACTCTATTTTTAGCACATACATTTTACCTATAAATAATTATGTTTATTTTGTAGAAACTGGTTGAGAGTAGTGCTTCTTTATGCAAGATGAGAGGACAACTCTACTCCTGCCCCTCTATCGCTAGGGCCTTTGACAACAATTTAAAGAAAAACCCATTTAAGCTGAAAACTGTATTATCACTCTGGTTCCTGTACCWCATACAAGCGTACACATGTATTTGTACATACACCAAGCTGGATTTCTGTTGTGTGATCACAAAGGGGCAGAAGGCAGGATTTTTTCCAAAAGCCTTGCAGTTTTTGGAATATTCTGTCTTCTWACCTAAGCATATTGGCAACACCCTTTGTGAGGCTAAAGATGGGATTTATTTGATTTTCAGCTTGGCTTTTGAAGGTTATTACAGTTGGCAAGGCTGTGTATTCCTGGAGAAGTTTCCTCCTTTTTACCCTTAGGTTCTAATACATCACAGTGTCTTTTATTCTTTTTAATACCTTTAATTAGCTGCTCAGAAGCCTTTTTAAGTGTGAGCAAAGCATTATAATGTATGAATGTCAGCTAGGAGTCTCAATTTCTGTAGGTATTTTTGCAGTAATAAATAACCTATATATTTTGTACCTGTCAYGAAGTACATGTTGTTGTTAGCTGGCAAAAGTTCACAGTTTTTCTAACTGAGGTTTACCTCTTCTAAAAACTTAAGTCTTAGATCTTTCTATACTTCAGCTGATTTTCCTTTAGGTTGTTGGTTATACAAATAACACCAAATGTACTTGTTCAGAGTTGCTTGGCAATCCTGCAAGATTTCTAACTATTATTTATTGGAGACCTTTCCAACGAAAGTAAAACTCAATATACTTCTCTTTGAACTTGTGTACTTTCTGAAGACAATGGAATCAATTTACTCCAATAAATAAATACTGTACTTTGGTTTAATATTAAAAGACTCACAGAGTATATGACACCATTTAATGACACTGTTCTATAAACTATTAACATTCCATCTCTTCAATGAGCAAACGCAGTCAGTCTAATCCAGAATTTCCCTTTTTTTGCTTAGAACTCCACTTTTTGCATMCATGTGCAGGGGTATAACACCTGGGAACAATCAATCACTCCCCAACAATAAAYGTAATTATTTTTGCTCTAAACCCAAGATACACAGCCAAGGTCTCTGCTGAAAACACACAACTGTAGAACTTCATGCAGCATTTCCTATGCTGACACGCACTAACAGGCATTCCCTGAAAAGCATACCATTGTTCCAGACAACGGACTACATTAGGGCAACTTCACTCAGGAAAAGAAAGGACGTGGCACGCAAAAGACAGAGAATCCTGACACGGATATAACTCGCCTACACAGAGGGATCAGGTAAATCCCACGTCGCAAACCCAGYGTAATCCCAGGCTGTGCACGGTTTGGCTTACAAAGCCACTTGCTCAGCTTGCCAGCTGGCCARGAGACAAAAGCCYTGCGTGGTTTACAGCCTCAGCRGGGGGAATACGTGAAAACCTGGCTGGTCCCGCAGCCACTYGGCTTTGGCTGACTGACAAACTGGCACAGCAAGGGACAGGTCASACAAACTGGGTGSGTGAATTCAGGTGTCAGTAGAGACGAGCAGCTGAAGGAGGAGTTGGGAAGGCTGCAGGCATTTGACTTGATGCTGTCAAATTTATGCAGTTGCTTAATTCCTGATTAGCTGCAGAATTTTCATATAGCCCATGATCCTAAATTTGGTAAGGATATATTTTTCTGAAAGTCCACCTGCTACACCTCTTGTGTTCACTGCAATTAACAAAAAAAGGGGACTWAAATAATTTCCTTAAATGTTGAGATATTTACAGTTTAACTTGAACGTTCATTCAACAATCTAAACAAAYGCCTGTTTGTCTTTATTGTGTCTGTTGTTTGAATTGTATGAAAAGATGTATTATATCAGCCAGTCTAACCCTCAGCACACAACAATATTTTCCACATAAGCAAAAATTGTCTGTCAGAGAGCTGAACAGCCAACCTTTTGTACACTTGGTTTTGAAAAAGAGATGCCAGTCCATTTTTACTTGTAATCAACAACAAACATGGGGGAAAAAAAGGATTTAAATCACAATCTGATGAGATACAATAACTGTGTATCTTTTGGGGTGAAGCACAAATTAAATAAAAGCACACGTGTAATCTACATATTAAATAACATTTTATCTCTTGGCAARCATCTCATTAAACTGCAATCCCCAATTTGTAGTAAAAGACATGTACACAGTGTCCTGACAGAAATTAGCTACTTTTAACTTTTCAAATATATTAAGCAATACATTTTACTTCATCAGAAGAAAAAAAAAAGGACTAGATTTATTTTTACTCTTTTACATTCATTCAAATACACAATTTATGATAGGTTCTAGGCCAAAAAATACCATTCTCCTAAAGACAGTAAGTAAATAAATAATACATATATTTCTTTTAAAAGCTCACTCTCCTAGCAGCTTCTGCAGAATTTCATCCTGACAACTTTCAAGACTGTAAACWTTTGAATGTCACAGCTGTGACTCCCTGCAGAACTAAATGACTACAGGAAATTTTATACAAATCGGTGGACTCAGTCACCCAAAATTCCCTTGCTCTGTTCAAAATCTCACCCAGTGATTTGAAAAGTGCAGAGAGGAAAGAATGACATTCTCAAATAAATTACTTGTAAATAMGTTTCTAATTAAAGGTAATTAATTGGTAGGGAGTGGTGCTATTGAAAATTCTCTTAAGGTAAAGATTTGTGTGATTCAGTTCCTGAAGACACTGCAATCTTAAAGTCTGATTTTGCACTTAATTTATTTTACATTTTTAATGATTATTCACTCAAATAATGACCAGAATGGCACACACATTAGGTTTCTCTGCCACCAGAGTACTCTGACTGCGGGTTTGATAGTTGCTAAGGAGAGAGATTATTTCTCTCTGAGAGATCAGACATGACTCTCTTTTGGCTTGTTCCCTGCACAAGAAATAGAAAATTTCTAAAACACTATTTTAAAAAATTCCAAAACAGCTAAAGAACTCCTTGGATAGAGAATGTATGTAGCTTAACTACTACAGCTTACTACTTACTACTAAACAAAAGGATGTAAATGTTAGAGCAATGATTTCAGGAGGGTTCAGAGACTGCTTTAAATGCAGCATGTAGGACCAGGGAGCCTCATGCTGCCCATAAAGATGATGTGAATTACCCACAGGCACTGAGCGCTGAATCTGCTGGTGAGTCAACAAAACCACCACATTGTCTGGCAAATGGTATTTTGTCTGGATCCTTCTTTTCATACACAAAATATGCAATATCATGGTCCTACCATGGAACTATTAAGCCTTGGACACACAAATTTCAAATTGATGTACTACTAAATAACCCATAAATTTAATCAAGTGCCTAAGAAAATTGGAGAAGGAACATTGAGAGCAGTTGGAGCCCAGCCCATCTGCTCAGTATCTTGAGAGGGAGACACACTCAAATCCAKCTTTAAGTAGAGATATGCAAGGAAAAGTGACCTACTATATAATTTAACAGTCTGTATTTGCCTTTGAGGGTAAAATTTCTAATGAATGAATTGACARTAGTGCTGTTCTCCACTTAGCATAGTACTTGTAGAGATCATGACCCAATTTTCATGTGCTCCCTGTTCTTAATTTTGATTACATTCATATTCTTTTATATTCAGCAAAATCTTCTTCAGAGGCTAAAGAAAGCGAGCTGCCCYTTAAACTGGGATTTCCTACCCTTTCCTTCTAAGTCTCACAATGGGCTGAGTATCCATACTTTAAAGTTGAACAAGTTTTTACCCATTTTCAGAAGTACACAGACCACAATTAGCTGTCAAGCYTTTTAGGTTTCTCCCCACCATATGCCACCTTTTTTTTTTTTTTCGCATAGCAAAACAACAGATCTCTTTTTGGCATCAGTCCAACCAAATTTCTGAGCCACTGTTGTCTTAATGACAGGGCAATATTTATAGAATGTTTAGAAAAACAACAAGCACATGTATTCATAGCCRGAAGCCTACTGAAACACAATTCACAACACTGTTTGATTCCTTTCCTGAAGTGTGCCAGGCTGCTCACCCACAGCACTTCTGCCATTAGGTTTATTTAAGTTGCTTGTCACAGTTGTAATAGATATGCTATAGAAATCAAGAATTTGATACACCGCCTTCGAGATTAAAATCTGCTCTGGTTTGAAATTTAAATAGAATTASGCAGCTCACATTGAAAGAACCACTAAATTGATACCAAAATATTCTGATAAACTCTGAGTTTATGAACTTCTGCCTTGATACGATTTATTTCTGATTCAAAACTATTTTCCTATGCCTCATGACACTGTACATCAGAGCTGTGCTGTGTATCAGCATTTCAAAAAAGAACCACATAAATGTTAAAATGAATACTCTTTTCAAAACTGTCAGATTTCTACAGGTATGACATTATTGACTTTTAGCAGTTCTTCACACCTAAAAGATGTAATTAAATTCACTTAATCAATTTAAAATAAATTTGAACAATTAAGAAAAATATTATTTTACTTATATAGTTTGCAAATATATGGACAGTTAGTAATGTTACTTATAAAGTAAATACTGAAATGAAAAATGGTTGCAAAGAAACTCTACTCAGGGTTTATTTTCTCCCCTATGAGGACACCCTATATTGCAGGGCTAATGAACCTTAGTTCAACTGTACAGCAAGAATGTGTTTTCTMAGTCCTAAAAGGACCTGAGATATTATTACTATTGGATATATATGGGCTTGTTTCCCATACAATTGAAATAAAGTTCAGTTTACTGAAGAAAAGCAGAGGRTTTCTTTTTTTCTGCATACAAATTTGGTATCTTCTGAGGGAAAAAACCCACATGTATATGAAGACGATAAAGTATTTTTTAAACACTATTAAAATATGAAATTAATATTGCTAAGAAATCAAGAATTTGGAAAAAGTGCAATAATTCAAACCAAACCAAGTTCATAGAAACTCTTCCATGACAGAAAAATTGTGCTGCCTCAGAAGTTAGGCTCATGAAGATACAATCTTAACCTTGGTTTTATTCTGTCACAGAGATAGTGTAATAATTCAAAATGAGAAAACACACAAACTGTTTAAACAAATTCAGAGCTTTTTATTACTCTGACTCTACCATAAACATCTTGTCAAGTATCTGCATCTCTTGCAGTGAATCTGACTTGGGCTGTTTTTGTTCATGCCACTTAGCTTTAAATGAATCTTAATTTCTTTCTCTTGTGTAATAGCATGGGCCCAAAGGAACCCATTAAATCTTCTATTACTGCCTCCTGGCAAAGAGCAGATGAGACTCCTTTCACAAGTATATCCCATTTTACTCATGCTGTTAGTTGAGTAGAAATACTGAAAGTTCCTTAATTCTTGCATAGAGGGTTAAAAAAGGTAAATTAAAGTATGTTGTTCACCCCACTTCATGCATTAATATTCTTCAGATATTCTAGTTCAGACTAGGAATAAACCTATTTCTGATGAATTTCTGAAGTCAAGCCCCCAACAGTATAGTGAAGGAAGAAGGCTTCCTGATCACTAAATTTTAAGAAAATATGCAATGTCCTCTCATCTCCTCTGTCCTCATTTGGTGACTGATTTCAGGCAGATGGTTGTGTCTAAGGAGCACTGGGTATAGCTCAGGGACTGGATACTCTAAGGTTGATAAAAACAGTCATTTAACAGYTCCTGAAACCGAGGACTGCATGAATTCCTCTGAAGTACTGGTAGCGACTGCTATTCCATGGTGTGAGACACAAATCCAGGGGATCAGGTTCAAGTCACACTTAACCACTTTGGACTTCACTGGGCAGACCTATTCCCAGCCTTGTTTCCTCTGATTGCAGTGTCTGTACCTTTCCTCAGCTATRGAGTTTAGCAAACACCACAGCATACACGGTTCTGTGAAAATGTGCTGGTATGGTGCATTGGGGACCACACACTATTCAAAACTACTTCAAGCAAATCTAATATCAAATAGTTACGGATTTTTGATCCTGAAACCTAGAGCCAAACTTGTCACAAGCCTTTTACACAGGATAGTACAATTCTCCATCTTGCTATCCTGTAACATCTCTGGATGCTTTAACTCCGTGGCTTAAAATGGTCTCTCCATTTTCTSGAAATGTCAATGATTAACACACTAGATATGATATATCAATATATGTCTCCCTCTGATAAAAACCAAAACTAGGCTGCCAGGAGTAAATGCAGAAATGCCATTAGCGCTCTGGAGTGTTACAACTCCTATAAGATTACAACTGCTGACAATTTATTATAGTGCATGGAAAAGATTTTTTATCATTATCCAGTCATAGCAAAAATGCCTTGGTTTGGGCTGGGAGAGATTTAATTTGCTCACAGTATCTGGTATAGTCCTGTGTTTGGGATCTAGGATGAGAATAATGCTAATAACACACTGACATTTCAGTTGCTGCTGACCAGTGGTCAAGGACTCATCAGCTTCCAACCACACCCTACCAGCCAGCAGGATGGGGGGGTACAAGAAGCTGGGAAGAAACACAAGCCAGGAGAGCTGACCCAAACTGGCCAAAGGGATCTTCCATACTATATGGTGCCATGCTCAGTATATGAGCCCACAGGGAAAGGTGTCTGGGAACTGGCTGGGCATCAGTCAGCAGGGGGTGAGCAACTGCCTTGTGCATCACYTGTTCTGTATATTCTAATATTACTATTGATATTTCCCTTCCTTGTCGGTCCTATTAAACTGTCTTTATCTCAACCCATGATTTTTACCTTTTTTTTCTTTTTTCCCCAATTAGCTCCTTCCTCCCACTGTGGGGAAGAGGTGAGCAAGCGGATGTGTGGTGTTTAACTACCTGTCAGGTTAAACCACAACAATTGGAAAAAGAGGTGCATGGGTGTGATTTATGCTCAGTTATCAAGAGACTTGGAAAATCCCATTAGTGTAAGAATTCCCCTAGGCAAGTCATGATTTTGTGGAAAATCTGTTACTAGCTGTGAACAGCTGTCTTTCAAAACCTGTTCTAAAATTAATGTCACGCGAAATACAGAATCAAAACTTCCCTTAGTCTAATTTTGCTACCAGTGAAATTTGATATCTATAACCAAAGACAGCCTGAAGACCAAGCTCTTGGTTTGACACTTCATTTTTTCTGTACACACAACTGTAATCACACAATGTAATAATACAAAATTATTATATCTAGACATTTGGAAATGTAGAAGCTTTCTATAGTTTAAAATTGGATCCCACAAGCAATCTGAAGTTATTTTTCATGATGGGATGTTCCTCTGCTTCCTAGGTTTTAACCACATAGTTTAGAACACCCTAAACTCTTCGGGGTTACAAGACTTTTCACAGTTCCACCTGCAACCAACAAATATTGAGGAAGGCAAAAGAGCTTCACGGCATTTAYGCATTAGGTGGTCAATGTTTCTGTACCCATCACAAAGCCTAGTCATCCTTTTAAATTCCACTCAAATTCTATCTTATAGGCGTGAGCCCCACCCTGATGACTTTTGAGAGTRCTTGTTTTCTCAGTGCTAACCAATATTTACAATACTTAAAGCTATTTAGGAGGAATCCAAGAGGTTAAGCAGCATCAATAAATGAAGCTATGCAACTATAACATCATACAGAAAGTAAGATGGCACAAGTTAAATGCAAAAATCCTGCTTGGACAAATGTTTACATCCCATGGGAATTAGCAGAAAGGTTTTAAAAGTGTAAAGACTTGTCTCCAAGAATTCACATGTATTACATAATATTATTAGTATTCCTAATACATATCACTATTGAAGTGATGGATACTCCTGTAGCTATTTTAATGTAAATTAATTAGTAACAGTACCATTCAGTAACCATGAAAACGCTGAGCTCAGAAAGCTGCTCAAGCTGCAAGAGAAATCTCTAGCAGAAATAGAAATGGACCTTTCTTATGATATTTGCTCTGCATTCTTATAAATATGATTTAGTCTATTAAACTAATATTTGTGTGTCACCAATCAGTGCTGCCTGAGTGACAAAAGCAGAAATCCTCCATGCAGGAGGTAACTTACATTCCTCTTCTTTTGGATCGAGTTGTGTAACACTGACAGACAGGCGATCTACACGTTCTTGTAAGGAGTTGACTCTAAATGAGAAACTGTGTGCTTCATTGAAAAGTTCACCAAATATATCTTCAGCATATTTACCTGAAACATGATAAAAAATAAAATTCAAGCATACTGCAAGACAGACAAATTATTTTTAACTATTTGAATTAAGTAATTCTGAGATGCATGAGTATCATGTGTAACAATTTGTACTTACTGAGCCCATTAAGAATCCTTTAGAAAAGCAAATAAAAGTTATATACTTAATTTGCAACTTACTTATCAGAAATGAAGTTATTCAATACACTACAGGACATATTCAGCTGCCATAAAATGATTTAACTATGCTGTTACACACAGAACAASACTGCATAGTTTCGTGGATATGTATAAAAGGACGACTTGCAGCATCTGAAGCTACTCCTGTCTGACCAATAACTAATCTTTAAATTTACCTCAATGCTTTTCTCAAAATGAAGCATAGCTTCCACTCCTGCTGGACAGAGGACTTTACAAAAATGGAAGATCAGATATTGACATCCAGGTGAATTAGAACCAGGCCATTCAAAAACACAGACTAAAATAATAAATCCCACTTTGAAGGATCAAAATTCTAGTAACTGACCAATTTTCACTGCAGTAAAAAACCCCACAACTAAAAACTCCTTTGTTCACATCAATGGACATCACACATTTAGCACAAAAGAGCAGGAGATTCAAGTATTATGAGAAAAGGATCAATAATGAATTTCTCTTCTGCAGACAGAGAGTACTCCACACAGTGCTTCTAATGCTCTCCAGACTCAGCTTGAGTAGTCTGCCACKGTCACTGGAAAAACCCCACCAGACTGCCCAGCAAAGTATGTAGCCACAATTCTGAAATACAGTGTGATAGCTTTCACAACCTTCTATGATACGGAGCATAYGTAATTCATGTACTGTTTGTGCACTTACGTTGGTTTTGGAAGCATAAATCTCACAAATTTCAAACTACCTGCTTTGCACTCAAGTTCTGACATGCATAAAAGGAAAGGATAGCTATGGAAATTCTGCCTTTGGTGAGCAATACATCTGGAAGYACACATAAAAACAAGGACATTTTTATTTAAACACATCAAAAGAACAAAAATTAAATCCCTACAGGTACTGTGGAAACTATTTAAAGATGCTGTGTAGTAAGCACAAGGCCAGCACATACCATTTATTAAGGCTTAGGTAACAGCAATAGAAAACCAGCATGACTATAAACAACAGAATATAAAAGGGGATATCAGAGGAAATGTACAGAAGAAGAAAATAGAACAACTAGCAAACTAACAATAAATATGCCTTCAAAGACATGAGGAACAAGAAAGCCTGCCAGGGAGTCTGCAGAGCTGACTGGCAATGMAGATATAAAGGAATACAGCAAAGACAAGAACCCTGTGGACAAGCTAATTTAACACTTTCCACTGGTGYTCACTGAAGGGAACTGGAGAGACCCTGATGGCAGAACTCACTGTGGGAGGCTCAAAGAAACTGAAGGGACGATATAAAAGTTACAAAACTAAATCAAAATTACTAGCAAATAATGGTAACAATTGCAAATCTCCTTATGCATGCTGAAAACCAAAGCAAGAAGGTTCAAAATTCTTTTCATGGAACATCTTGAGAGCTACAGACCCACAAGCCTGCCATCCAGATGAATTACTACAGATCATTATGAAGAACTGAATTAGAAGACATCTGGATGAATTGTGACAGAAGAGGCAAGAGTTTTTGTAAAGTGAAATCTCTGAATGGTTTATAAGCACATGGATAGAGAGCTATGATCTACTGAGATTTCCAACAGAGTTTAGAAAGTCCTTAATCAAAGAGTTTGGAGAAAACTTAACAGATGGGACATACAAAAGAAATGGCACAGACAAATAATTCCTCAAAAGGTAGAAAACAGGGTATAGGAGTAAATCACAGGTCTTCACTGTTGAGAAAGGTGAGTTTTATTAAGTTTCTGTGCTGGGATCCATGCTATTTAAGGTATCTGTAAATTACTTGAAAAAAAAAATATTTAAGTTTGCCAATGATACAAGGTCATGGAAAAGAAACACTTGGAGCATTAGAAAATACAAAGAAACTTCAGCGGGTTGGATGGAGAGGCTTCCAGGCTGAAAAGGGCTACAAGAAGGGACATCAGTAGGAGTATGCCACATGCTGTCTTGCTCTCATTCTCRGAGCAACTGCTAATAGCCACAATGAGAAGCAGATGAAAGGCACCCACATTCCTGGAATCTTTGTCTTATAGCACAAGTCCACAGAAAAATATAGATGGAAAGTTATTAAAAATCTTCTCAGCTGGCAACTCACCTAACATAAGACTTTCTAATATATGACTTGAAACTCTCAAAAGGTTATGTACTTTAACTTGTATTCTCAAGCAAGAGAAATTACTTAAAAATGTGATCCACTAAGAACAAGATTGCTAAAGTTTTAATACACATATACTAAAAAATTTACGTGTTTCAGATAATTTATTCAGAAATGTTAATTTTAATTAGATAACTCACAGAATATTTAGAGACATACAAATTAAAATTAAAATCAAATATAAAATTTCATGTATAGAATAAAGAATTAACTTAGGAGCAGGGCTTTAAAATGCAGCAACTTCCCTTTTGTAGGTGTATTTTAAGGCTAAAGCTTTATCTGTATCATTTCATCAGGCTTACAATTCATCTACCTCATTAATGAGATCCAATTGCAAATAATCTGTCTTGGAAATCTTTTCATTATGTTGCATACAGCCACAAACATACTGCAAGGAATAATTTGCCTATGCTTATGAACACTAATCCTCAAATGGGAAATACATTAAAAACAACCTGTCGTGTTTGAAGTGGCATGCCAACCATAATATCTCCACTACATCTCTGTTGGTGGTCTCTTTATTTAACCAGAGGTATATTTAACCAAATGCTACTTCCAGCAAAGCAAAATGTTTGCTTTTTGTGAAATGTACAACTTCAATTCCAAAGAATACTATATGTGAATGTACATGTATGTGCAGAATATTCATAATCCAGTATTTGTTTGTGTTGCCATCTCTGTGTATTCTGTAGGAATGTATCTTCAGTTTTGAATGCATTACAAAGGACACAATTACAGGTGATAATACTGAACAAAGTGTCACAAACTCAAATAAGTCAAAGAAAGTGTGAGAAAAAAACACGTTAGTAAACGAAGCTGATCTCATTCCACACAATTTAAGGACAGTACGTTAGAAGAGTAAGAATGCAAAATTAATTCCATTATACACAATGAATATTCCAAAGCAGCATCAACACTTTGGAAAATTTACAATATTATGGGCCTGATGAAAAACTCTACTCTTGTTTCTTGCAGTATAATAAAGAGAATTACAGTTCACTGTGACAATTAAAATATTAACGCCTTAGGATCTTGCTCACTGTTGGATACATAATACCAGATCMGAAAGATCAGTGGTCTTGTTTGCCTACTAAATTAAATGACAACATAGACTTCTGCAACTAAATTAATTCAATGTCTGTAAAAAGCTTATTTTACTGTATTTGCAAAGCTGCTTAGCATTTATTTTTATTAATACAGCATTTAAAAAAAATTCATTTAGAGGATACCTTATTATTTAATTTTAATTAAGGAATTTATTATTCACTTCATTATTCTTTTCATAACTGTTCCTTATGTATCAAAGGGCTCTGATCACAATTAAACCTTCAGCAAGAAAGAGATACAGGAATGCAGCTCTCTCTGGTGTCAGTCAGTATCCTTTTTTGTGACAGCTGAATAAAATGTCATGGAAACAGTGTTCTGTCCTTCCCTCAATAACATGCATGTACTTTGATGGCTTTTTGAGCAATTATTTTTCTGGCTTTTAAAACAGACCTATGAGCTGAAAACAGAACAGTAGCTAGTAGCTACTAACGGAAAATAGAATAAAAATTATACTGCTTCCTGCCTTCCTCTTTTATTATAAATTAAACCCACCAAAACATGTATCATCCACTCCTGTTCATTACCATGGCAATAAGTGTACAATGGCTTATAAAATGCAAAAAAATACTGATCAGTTCTACAGTGCTTTGCTTTCACCAGTTATTCATTCTAACTTGTTTTTTCTCCTAATTTCCCCCTATAATTTCTTGAGCATCTGTCCAGCCTCCCTGGCCTCTATCCACAAATATATGATTACTAACTATCTAACACACTGAAATGAAGGGATATAAAGTAAAAGAAATGGGGTTTTTTGTCTTATTCTGGGGGACTGGGTATGTATCAGATGAACTGAAGTCAACCACAACCACATCAGATTCTGGGCAGTATTTCAGGCTAATTAAACAAAGCGTGACAAAGAGATGTCTTCAAAGACTTTATATTGTGTTGTACAAGTTCCTAGAACCACACCAAGGATCAGGGCATACATTAGCACCCCCCTCAAAACTCCACTCCTTAAATCCACCTGAACTCTGACATTCTCAATGCTGTATCTGCTAGCAAACCCTAAGGAAAGAYCATTTAAATTAAACATTTTGCACCGTTAGATCAGTTACCAACAGATTTAGTTACAGGCTCTCAGACAAGGAGCAGGATATGAATCCTGAACCAGGACTTGTGGAAGAAACTACTTTMCTATCCTTTTGCACTGTTAAAGACAAAGAGCTCCAAACTCTTCAACTGCACCTCAACCTGAAGCAGCAGCATCCTGCAGATCAGTTACAGCATTGGCAGCCTTGGTGAAACAAGGTCTGAATTTTATGTAGCTACCTGGATAAATTAATTGACCACCCACAGTCCTCAAACCAGCATCATTTTACCAAATTCAAGAGGATGACTGATAAAATTCAGGCCAATGCAAGGTGCAGCAAGCAGGACAATCAAAGTAAGACAATTGTTCAATATTGCCAGAAGTAYTCATCTTAATTAACTTAGTCTTAAGTGATCTGTCAGACTTCTGGGGCTCAGTGGTCTGTGTGTGTGTGGGTATGTGCATGTTTGAACATTTACGAACTGACAGTCTAACACAGTTCTCACTGGAATTAGATTATAAAAATACATAATATATTAAGTATGTGGTGAGATTATTA